TTGAGGAATGAAGCCATGAGAATAGATAACACTAATCGATAAGACGATTGAAAATATGCCACAAAATCAGTTTTGTTCAGGAAACTTAAACTAAGAATAAACACATCTCAATACCTTTAAGAAAGCCAAAATGTTTTATGGTCAATCAAGACATACCAGAAGAAAGAGTAGTAGATGATTATTACGGCCATTGAGAGATTTTTAACATGTGACAGACTTATGGGAATAACCGGGTTTTGAACTTGTAACTCTGAGATTTTAATACACATGCACTTGTGAAAAAAAGATAGCTTTAAATGGATTGCTTGGTTATTTTCCTGGCTCAATATTAATGAAACTTGTCCTTACCTCATTTTGTCAATATACATGAGGTAAGGACAACCTTCCCAGTAGACCTATCATAGAGGGTTATTCAAAAAGAATGAACTGATTTCATGATGTATTGCTTCATTTCTCAAGCATCGTCATAGAATGAATCCATTTGACCATTTGAAAGAGGAGTTTTCTAAGTTTAGAATGGCTGCCTTAGGGGCGCTGTAGTCGCGTTGTTCAGTTGTTTGTTTACCCCTGGAATTAAGAGTCTTCAGTTAAAGGTGTTCTGCATTCTCTAGTTCACGAAAACAAATATGGTTGTCACAATACAGTGTGCTTTTCGAAGGCAATTCGAGATTAATCGCCCTCTCCAAAAAACATTCGACGGTGGTTTAAACAGTTTTAAAGTCCAGGACGACCACGAATTTCGTAGAAACAAGTGGCGAGAATTCGTGTTGCTTTTGAAGGGAGTCCACGGAAGTCCACAAATCAAGCTCGCCGTGAGATTGCTATTTTTCAATTCACTATCTAGCGTGTGCTAAGAAGAAGTCTACATTTGAAATCTTAAAGAATACGCCTCATTCAGGAACTTATCAAGACCTTGCTCGTTGTGCTTGGCCTGCGAGATCCCTAGACCTCACCGTGTGATTATATTCATGTGGGGATGCGTAAAAGGTCGCGTTAATGTTACACTGCTATCCACTAACCACAATGACATTGAACATCGCATAACAAGAGCGATCAACTCAGTAGATCGTGAGGAGGAATTCTCTTATCACATTGATGTTGCCTGAAATTAAAGTTGATTGTGAGTAGAATACTTGTGACTTAGCCGGAGTTTTCTATTGCTTTTCCTTATTAAAATATTGCATAATGAAATCAGTTCATTCTTTTATAATAACCCTCTATATATGATTCGCATATTGTCTATTACAAAGTAGTGTTGATTAATTATCCAATGAATGCTTGTCATTGTACGATCTGTATTTGTGTAAGTATGTATGTATGTATATATGTATGTGCGTGATGTAGATCGTCACAAACACACTGGATCATGATATGCTGATATGCGTCTGAGAGAGATTCTCTTATCGCATTGATGTTGCCCGTGCTGAAGGTGGTGGCAACATTGAACACTTGTAAGACAAGAAATAATTGATTGTGAGTGATAATACTTGTGACTTAGCTGTAGTTTTCTATTTCTTTTCTTTATTAAAATATTGCGTAATGAAATAGGTTCATTCTTTTATAATAACCCTGTATATATGAAGACAATCTTAGCTGCCGTTTTCTGGTACTGTGATAATTGTCTTAACTTGCAGATGAACCTAATTGTTTAAAAACCAATTATCAAAGCTATCTCGGCGGTAGCTATGTTTTAGTTGCACTAATAAGTGTTAGGGCCCTAATAGAAGTCAGGTGCAAAACACTGAATTTCAAGGTGTCGTAGAAGTGATTACATTCTCACACCCATTTTAATCCTAAAAGTAAATCTATTCCGTTTAAATAATTGCCTCATTTTCAACTCACTAACTGTACACATATATTGGACGAAAATGTATACAAAATATATTTAGAAATCATTCTAATACATACCAGCAGTAAAATAAATGTCTGGCCCCAAACCCTATATTATACATCACAGGACATGATTAAATAGAACCAGAAAACATGTGTTTCGTATAGTATCAGGGCAGAATAAAAATAAAACTGGTCACATTACGCAGATACGCCATAAAAGTGAAACTTGTTTTTGGAATAAAGCATGACTAAGATCTGCATGTACAACATTCGATCCAGGTGGTAAGTAATATAAATATGCTATCAATCATCGCCTAAAATGAACACTTGAAGAACATCGAAAAGCTGTAATCTGTGGCTTAATATTAGGTATCAGTGATAATGTATGAAGAAAGATGAACTAGACGAGAAATAGATTTTGAGAATAAGACGGTTAAAATATTATCTCAAATAATTCGTTCAGAAGGCCAAGCATAGGTATAATTAACATAGAGGAATCACTCATCAAAAGAAAGTGAGTTTCCCAAATTTATTATCACTAACGTGGGTTTATTGGCAAAAACACCCTTCATCTTGTGGGCTAGGGAAGGGTATTCCTAAGAGTTTGTACAAATAAAGACTCAGAATGTTACGTATACGAGAGGATATTTCAAGGTGTCGTAAGGTGATTACAGTCTTGCACTCATTTTCCCCTTAAGATAAATCTATATCGGTTAAATGTTTGTCTCTTTATCGATCCTTCAGCTATCAAAATCTGTTGAACGAAGATTATTACTAAAAAGTGACTCTCCGCAAATCGATTTATCTTACTGGTCTTCTAAATGCAATTATTTTGTACTTAGCTTTCCTCTCGGGATAACATGTACGGTGATCTTTTGACTATGAAATCGTAATGCTGGGCAGACAGACAGGCAGAACAGACTTGCAACAGACAGACAGATCGATAGTGCAGTGTAATACCCTCGAATGTCCGGTCTTTGGAGATGCTAAATTACATCCATTGAACATAGGGCAGCCATCAGAAAATCAATTGGCTTATCGATTCCAAATGGATCAGTGGCTATGAATAAAGTAATTTTCATAAACATTGCCTTGAATGGAGACGTGAATACTATGCCGCTTGCTCGTTCTAGACGTTACAACCCAATTTTTATCTGGACTTTTATTATTCCTTCGTAAATTCTACGCTTCGCACACCTTAGTGTAAATGTGAGCATTACTCAGCAAGATGAATGAATTTAAGTGCTATTCAATCTTATCTAGTATAAATAATTGGATGAGGTCTTTCAGAAGTAAAATAGATTCGGCTATTTGATTTTATTATATATATATATCGTTGGCTATAAAAATGAATGCATTATTTGCTTGGGTTTTCTCCTTCAGGTGTTTTCTGTATATGATAAACCGTAGATTAATGTAAGACGGAGATAATCAGGAGATAATCATGGTTCGACTTTATCTCTTGATTAAAAATTGAAACAAACCCCACCCACCATGTTAAAAATATTAAATTTGAATTTTGGAAGTCTCGTTAATAATATAGAATCTTAACTTGGGCAGCTATATTAAAAACATTGAATTTTACCCGGGGAAGTTACATTAAAACCTTCAATTTCAACTCGTGAAGACACGTTAAAAGTATCACATTTTAACTTAGATAACAACGCTAAAAATATTCAATTTTAACTTGGGAAAGCTACATTAAAATTGTTACATTTTAACTTGAGCATCTATTTTGTCTGATGACTAAAGATTTTAGATAGATATAAAATTCAAAATTTTACTTTAATCGAAAATAACTGAATAAATTCTCGTAACACGTAATGCGTTGTATAAAAATTGTTTTTCCTGGAATATTTAAACGACGATGAAAACAGCCAAATATTTTGCGCGTATAATGCCTCCTGGATTAAATTCTGAGTTCGTTCTAGAGACGAACATGCAATGGTTAGCGAGTATTAGTTGTATTAACTCGTTAGGCTATTGCAAACATTGGCACAGGGATTGGACATGAAATGGTGAGGAGCGCGAAATATGACGGAAAATATGGTCGGGGGTTACATAATAAACATCTACAAGCACAGAAGATATTTCGAAGAATTGGATAAACAAAATCTAAACGTTCATTTTAGCGAAAAAATCACCCGAGGTGAGAATGCAAACTAGAAAAAGATTAGATATGTTCTTCTCTGACAACCAAAACCAGCAATGCTTATAGAAAAGATACAAACGTCCATAACAGATTCAGATGTGTTTTTTTTGTGACATATTTCTCTCTGCGCATCAACGATATATATAGAGATGCGATGAGTGATGCTTTACTTATTGTGCCGAGAATACAATAATTGAAAAGTCAATGTGGCATATAATTTTAATAATGCAAAAGAAAGTTTATATTATCTAACATTCACATACAGATGTGGATAAATAGATAAGTGACAAAATGAGGTGTTATTAGATATGTAGTCACGTGGCACTACAGTAATGCCATGGTACATGAATATAAAACAGCGCCAAATTTTTAAAAAAAAGCAAACAAAAACAATCTTACTTTTGAAACTTTACACAACAAGCATAAAATACTTGGCTGAAACAGGGATTAATTTGGGAGATTTGCTTTCTCTCACTTTTGTCACACGCACTCACACAGAAACTAATATATATATATATATATATATATATATATATATATATATATATATATATGAAATCCATTTGAAGACATTTGAATTAAAAGGCATTCAATTTAGTTAAAATTTGTTTTCTTATTTATTGATTTTGTCTTTTTACGGCTTATCAACACTTTACAGGTTATTTAAAGCCAGAAAATATTTGTTTACAATTTAAGAATTTTTGAGATAATAATGATTTAGTGATACAATTTATACTAATTAACCCATAGCTGGAGAAAGAAGAGGAGGATACATACCTTTCCAAAGGTTATTTGCGCGTAAGTGAATATAACAAACTCGAATGGAAATGGAACTCGGCCCAGCGATTTCCAACTCCGAGCTGTTACCAATTACACCACTCGCATAGCCAAGTCTTTTGCTACTATATAACCAGTTAATGAAACCCATAGCTAGATGGGTGCAGAGGAATTTGAACTCAGCTCTCCGGTTAATAATTCCAAGCCTTTATCCATTACACCATCCATACACCCAGGCTTATAGCACCTGATATTCCCAAGCGGTCATTCATATTAGTACTGACCAGGCTCGACGTTGCTTAACTTCAGTGATCGTGCGCGAACCGGTAAAACGAGCAAGCACCTGAAGAAACGTCCAGCTCCTTCTTGACATAATTAATGGCTGCAAACTTAGCCACCTAAATTGTAGATTTTGTAAACGAGATTGTAAATTCTGGACACTTACTTACCTAACTGGTGCCAAGAAAATTGAACCATATAAACATAAAAAGAAATTAAATTCTAATTAAATTGACAAGTATAAAATATAGTTTATTATATTGCTTCTGATGACAGATCACTAACAGCAAAGATAAGCCTCTTTATATAGTAATTGGGCATGGTTAAATGTAATTGTCAGAAATCTTGATAAACATATTTTCACTTTCACTTTCACTTTATTATTTAATCAGTAACAACTTAAGAGTGATCACTTTGAGTCAATTGTTAATACGAACCAGAATTTGAGTAAATGTACAGCTCCTTATTGTTATGGTCCGGTTGCTTGTGCCACAGTGATAGTACAAGGTAGAACCAATAAAGAAGAACTCGAACACAGGTATGGAATAACACAGATATATTACAAACAGGAATATATACAGAGAAGTAGAAGTGTTAATATAAACAATCAGGTTTAGAAGAGAGAACAATGTAGTCTCGACCAGTATCACTATTTCAATGTCTTGCAGTAATTGTCTGAACGCAACTCTGTTTCGGACTGCCTCTGACTCGACTCTTGACTCGACTAGAACTACTGACTCGACTTGAACTACTGACGATATTCATTCCCCCTCACTGGGGCAGCATGTGACACAAGGTCGGTTATTTATTGTGGGTTCTCCGAGCCCGTGGGCTCGGCCCCAAAATATGCCCATTGAACCCGTATAAACGGGCTCAGGGCCGGTTTACCTCCTCGAACGAGACTCCGCCACTCGGCGTAGCCTCGTTCGGGTTCCTCCCCGCCTGAAGGTAGAGAATTCAACCGAACAGTCGGTCAAGACTTGAACTACTGACTATGTTTAGTCACCCCCTCACGTGGGCATCATGTGGCACAAGGCCGGTTTAACGTGGGATCTCCGAGCCCGTGGGATCTCCGAGCCCGTGGGATCTCCGAGCCCGTGGGCTCCGGCAAAAATATCCCCATTGAACCCGTATAAACGGGTTCAGGGTCGAATTACCTCCCCAAAAGAGAATCCACCCTTCGGCCTAGCCTCCTTCGGGTTCTTCCCCACCCGAAGGCAGAGAGTTCAACCGATCAGTCGGTCGACCGAGATCGACTTGAACGACTGACTCATTGCCTACTCATGAGGCGCAGTATTAAGTATGGAATAGTCCATTAATATTATTATGGGTAAGATCGCATAACACTTATTTAAATGTAATTGACAGAAATGCCCAATTTATACATTTTGCTTAAACAAAAACACCAATCTTTCTTGACAAATATACTTTCACTTTCACTTTATTATTTAACCAGTAACAACTCAACAATGATCGCTTTGAGTCAATCGTTAAAACGAACCAGAAGAAACATACAGGTCCTTATTGACATCATTAATGAATTTAACCTTTGTGACCTAAATTGTAGATTTAGTAAACGACATTGCAATTTATGGACACTTACCGACCTAACTGGTGCCAAAACACAAACATTTAACCATAAAAAAGAAATGGAAAAATAATTAAATTAACAAGCATACAATACATTGTATTATATTACTTCTGATGACAGATCACTAACAGCAAAGATAAGACTCTTCTTCGGAGAAAATGAGAAAAACATTAGGAAAAAGATCAAATATGATTAGTGCATAATAAAAAAATGAGAATATATTACAATTCCTTACCATTATCCATGGTACCAAACGCACAACGAAGCTTATAGCAACTGATATTCCCAAAGCTCTCACCACTCTACACACTGACCAGACTCGACTTTACTTTAGTGATCGTGTGGGAAATGGTGTTTCAAGTTGATTTAGCTGTTGGCCTTCCTTGTCTTTCGTTTATATTTCAAATTTCATTATTTTTGGTAATTACGACGTATATCGCAACATCAAATACGTCATAATATTTAATTGACTGAGAAGTAAGACCCTCAATTATTTATACTTACAAATTCTCCCTGTTGCCAAATGTTGCACTTGCCCAGACAGCAAAATTTCGAACAACCAAAATCTAAAATAAGATCATTTCCTTCATGTTGGCTACATCAGTGATGAGGACATGCACCAGTTGAACTAAAGATGGAGTCATTGCAATTCCTCTATAAAAAGCTGTTACTTTACCAACCCTTTTATCGTATTCGGTATGCCAGCTTTTTGTTCGCTTATTATTATTATTATAATTACTAATAATCTATTTCTATTATATATTCTTTGATTTCTGGTGTATAGTCATTTCTTTCCTGGTCCCAACCAGAGACCTAAGTTCAGAAATGGCGTCATGAAATTTTCCACTGAGCATTTTTTTGGAAAAAATTATTATTATTATTATTATTATTATTATTATTATTAAAGAGAGAATTTGTATTTTAACTTTGGATAAGAAACTTTCGCCATTTATTTCTTTTATTAAATATTATTTCTTTTATCAAAGATTCAGAAATGTAATTCTTTGTTGTTCAAAACGAACCAAACAGACAAATCGAGGTTGAATTATAATGCAATCATTTCCGGACATTTATCTTTCAACCAAAATCTAAAATCTTTTAAAATATCATTTCGTAAACACATAAGAGATCGATTAATATCACTTTTGTCAAGTTTTTCCGGTAATTAACTTAGACAAAAGGACGAATCAAAATCCCGATAATTTAAAATATTTCACTTACAATCAGCGTTAAAATTCAATGTTTTGCCAGACAAATAAATACGAATTGAATCAATGTTGGGAATAGTTTTTCTAGATTATAACGATGAGTCTTGAAGACAATCTTTAACTCGATTTGTTTGTAGTTATGGAAAGTTCCATCGCCGATTTTTAACTTAAAATGGTTGAATATATATAAATAATAGGCTTAGTCTGTCAGTAATAAAAACTTTAATTCTTGACTTGCGACATTGCTTTTTTATCCTGATTTTCAATGCATTTTACAGTAAAATAATTAACATTAAGCATTTATATTATATTTATATTATCTAAATTCTATTAGAAAATATTGCATTGATTCTTGATATTGATCAATTCTAATGGCGAATATATCATCCTAACTGCAAATCATACATAATAGCCAAGATAATATTCGGAGTATATTAACATACCCTAGATTTTACAGCAGTGTCAGCTTATCAAGTGGATTTTATTTCTATCACCCCAATCAAGGCAGCAAAGGCAATAAGTCAAAGGGGTTACTAGAATTAAAAACCAAAAGCATTATTAAGGATCGAGAAAAATAGAAGCGCATTTAGAAAAACAGGAGATAACGATTGACATTGCCTTTAAAGTTTAGAAAATCAAACTTGACTAGAAAGCAAGATGCCTGAAAAGAGTTCCACAATGCGAAGTTTGAGAAAACCATCTGTTAGCGTATAACTTATAGTTACATTTTCTCAATTCAACGATAAAGCAAGTGGATGACAGAACGTGGTTTGGGGAGGTGGCAGAGGGACGAAACATATTGAGAGTTACAACGGATAGGGAGGAAGTGGAGAGCCATGATCACCTACGCCCCAAAGGGACACGGTACATAAAAAGAAAAGAAAGAAACAATTGATTATTGTCTTACTCCCAAGGTCAATAAAGCACAACGTAAAGTTTATTTGTACAATAAAACAGCAATGGATGATAGATGAAATTCTCGACATGACGAAAAAGCGGCAAAAAACAATGCCAAGGTACGGCACAGAACAGAAGAACAATGCAAGGAGGTTAAAGAGGAAGGAATAAATGAAGGATGTGCAGAAATAGAGATGATGACTATCATAGATAAAGCAAATATTCATAAAAAAATTAAGAGAACAAACAGGACTGAAGTTATGTTCATTATAAAATTCAAGGATTCAATGAAGAAACTTTTCAGAGATGGAAAGAACACATCGAAGAGCTCTACCACGACGAAAGGGGACAGCCTACAATACACTAAAATATCGAACGACCAGAAATATTAAAATTTGATGCGAAATCATCATTGGCCAAATGGAACAGAAACAAAGAGTCAGGACCAGACGAATTTGTAATAGAGACGCTGGCAGCCTTACATGATTTCGGCATAGACAAGATTACAGCCATTAAAAATGAAATCTACAACTATGGTGATATACCGGTATACATATGTAGATCTATTTTCGTAACATTACCCTAGAAATCAGGTGCAAAAGAACTCTATCGAACAATAAGCCTAATGAGCCATATAAAAAACTAATCATTCGAATTCTGATGAACTATGCGCATCAGAATTAGACTGGGAATAAGCCAAGAACAGTGCGGGTTTGTTAAACACATTAGAATAGAACAAGAAATGTTTTACTTGTCATCAGAATGATATAAGAACTAACAATGCAAATTCAAAAAGATATATACCTATATTTTATAGATTATGTAAAAGTTGTTGATAAACTACGTCACAAAAAACTGTTGGAACTGCTAGGTAACCGTGAAATATTTGTGAAGGATTTTAGAATAATGCGAAACCTATACTGGCAGCAAGCCTCCTGCATAGGGATAGAAAATGAATTCAGTAAACATGCATAAATAGAAAGGGGTGTAAGACAAGGATGTGTCTTCTCGCCGGACTTATTCAAGCTATACAGTGAGGTGATTCTGGCAATTATAAGTCTTAATAGATTTCATTATTGGCGGACACAATCTTAACAACATAAGATATGCAGATGACACAGTGTCGATAACAGACACAGGAAATAAACTAAAATATATCCTGCAGAAAGTGGTGAAAGAAAGCGAGAAGCAAGGATTAAGCATCAATTACGAAGAAGACAGAATACATAGTTGTTAGCAAAAGGGACAGCCAAACATGCAAATTACAAATTGGGGATACCAAAATCAAACAAGTACAACAATTTAAATATCTGGCAGGAAAAAGCATCAAATACATACCATGTATTCTGTTGTTAGCAAACGGGACAGCCAAACATGCAAATTACAAATTGGAGATACCAAAAGCAAGCAAGTACAAAAATTTATATATGTGGTATTTTAATATTGTTGTGGTCTGTTTAGGGGCCAGAAAGAAAGACACGAAAGAGATGTCTTTGGGCTAAAGAGCTCCGTTCGTAATGTCACTGCTTCGGTGAATGTCAATTCTCTAGACTTACGGGGCAGAATGTAGTTAACGAATTTTGTGTGCTCAGTTGTGCCAAGTTTCCTCAGAAGAAGACATACTTTTTCGAATCACTCCAATTTGCACAATCTGAAGTATATAAATACCCATACCTCCTAAAGTATGACGCAAAGGTTATGTCTTCCTCGGGATTGAATGAAAAATTTTCTATCGCGCTCCAAATGGTGTTTTCCGAAAAAGAAAATACGTTTTCGATGGGATTACTACAGCTTGTCAGTTCTAATACTTGCTTTTGAAATTCAAGTTGTGGACACTGGCAACGGTAAATTTTTTGGCTCCCAGTGAAGGGCGAATCCTCGTTGCCAAGTTGTTGTAGACACTGGCAACGGCAAACTTTTTGGGTCCCAATGAAGTGCGAATCCTCGTTGCCATGTTGCTGTGGACACTAGCAACGTCAATTTTTTTGAGTCCCTGTGAAGTGCGAATCCTCGTTGCCAAGTTGTTGTGGACACTGGCAACGGCAATTTTTTTGAGTCACAGCGAAGTGCGAATCCTCGTTGCCAAGTTGTTGTGGATCTGTTTAGGGGACAGAAAGAAAGACTCGGAAGACGAAGGTAGGTTGAGCAAGTATATTGAAAATATATAAAAAGCAAGACTGTTAGTAATAAGTAGATAGCGGTGTACGTTCGAACGGCAGGCTAGCACTGCGTCTACTTCTCCGCTCAACCAACACTCGCAGTTAGTATTTATGAGAGGAGGAAAAGTTCATTCTATTGTAGGAGTGTTTACTACAACATTAATCGGGGAAAGAAAGTTCGATACTGAAATCTGAAGGTGCATTGGGATAGCGAAAGATGCCTTCCAGAAGCCAAGCAACGTATTAAGAAATGGAAAAGTTTTGCAAGAAACAAAGAAAAGAGTACAGAACCGTTGCATCATATTAGTCTTCCTATATGGCAGTGGATGCTGGACGATCTTCTCACAGATGAAGAAGAGGAAAATTGAAGCAACAGAAATGTGGTTCGTTAGAAGGATGCTTTGATTACCATGGATCGAACGTGTGAGTTTTATAGAAAATGGAAACAAAAAAGGACGCTTATATTAACACCAGAAAAAAGAAAGTTGACATTTTTAGGGCACATAACGGGGAAAGAGGTCTTGAAAGATTTGATAGTCACAAGAGAGATTGAATGCCATTAGGACAGGGGAAAGCAACACATATTCTCGCCAGTGAGATTGATTAAATATAGGTTTTGATGAGATAACAAGGAGACAAAATTAATCAAGAATTACAAAGGACAGGGAATAGTGGAGAGCCAAGGGATACGAGACATAGAAGAAGAAGAAGAAGAAGAAGAAAGGAAGAAGAAGAAAGGAAGAAGAAGAAAAAGAAGAAGAAAAGGAAGAAGAAAAACGGAAGAAGAAGAAAAAAACGGAAGAAGAAAAAAGGAAGAAGAAAATGATGAAGAAAAAGACGAAGTAAATGTGGAAATCTGCTAGTTTCATCCAATGTCTAGTTAATATAATATAGTATACCTTGATATACAGTAATGATATGGCGACTAAATAGGACAGATTGAAAAAGAATATATATATATATATATATATATATATATATATATATATAGATAGATAGATAGATAGATAGATAGATAGCTGTCATGCACATAACATTCAATCAAAGATCCAGAGATCATTGGAATATATATATATATATATATATATATATATATATAGAGAGAGAGAGAGAGAGAGAGAGAGGGAGAGAGAGAGAAGGGAAAGAAATCGATCTAAAATACGAATCAATGTGATTGGCAGAGAGGCTGATTAAATCCTCTATGAACACTGCCATCATATGGTCAATAAACCCAACACAGATGCCAAGGCTCACTATGAAGATGAGCTTGTTACTGATAACAACAAAATGTTCTGGAACTATACCAAGCACTTTACATGATCGAGTTTTACATTTCAATAAATGATAGAAAACAAACCAAAAAATTACTGGTAGTCAATGAGCCGTTGAACTCCTATATAACCGTTTTAACAAAGGAATCATCTATAGATCAATCAAGATTAACCCCATTCTTATTTAAATGTAGAACACATTACGAGACATAATTGATTCACCGACAGTTAGAATTTCTAAAATTGAAATCTAGTAAAGCATCTGATCCTGACTCAATCAGTGTGACTGTGTTGCGGTGCTGTGATAATTCTGATCTAACCCTGTGCATCTTGTTCCACCAAATGATCCAAACATGACCAACTCCTCGGGACTGGCGTGACGCTAATGTATACACCTTGAATAAGAATTGCTTTCGGGCCTACAAATGCCAGACCAGTTTCACTCACAAGTCGTTAAATTATTTGAATGCACCATCCAAGACAAAAGTGTGCACCCTATAAATGTCAACAGAACTACATGTCACCACCAACAGAGCTTATAATCCAGATGTAGCTACGTTAGCCAATTGTTTCATTGATTCCACTAAGAACGACGATAACTAAATGCAAGCTGGTCTGATCAATTTAGACTTTGTCAAAGCACAGAATTGATGAGACTCTTGGTAACAAACACATCTCGAGGGCTATGACATTAGATATTTTGAAGGCCTTTGGCACGTTATGGCGCACAGGTTTGCTACTCAAGCCCTCCAGCTGGTGAATCACTGGAGGGATCTTCTCAATTATAAATTCCTTCTTAACAGGTAGGTTCCTGAAGGTATTTATTAACGGACAGTCCTCCAGGTCTGTGGCAGGCAAAGAAGACGTCTCCCAAGTGCCACTTCTAGGAAAAATCCTATTTACATAAATAATCTACCTAAGAATATTATCAGGTCATACACCCGATAGACGAGTGCCCCTCTAAAAATCTTGATGATCAGAGATTGCTAGCTGATCTGACATGTGATCTAGCACTAAATAGTAGGTTGACCCAAAAGTTCGTAAACACTTGCAAAAATTGAAATTTTACTCGCCAAGTAATAACAAAAACAACAAAAATTATTCCTCAAAATAAAGACCATCATTTTCCAAGACTTTCTGCCATCGGATCTGGTGAAAGTACCATTCAGCCGGCTTCGAATCAAAGAATTCTTGAGACGCTTCCTCGACTTCATCAAACGAGTCGAATCGGCGGCCCTTCAGAAAGTGTTGAATTGAGCGGAAAAGGCCGTAATCTGATGGAGCATAGTCAGGACTGTAGGCTGGATGTGGCAGAACCTCAACGCCGTCCAGCTCTTCAAACTTATCTTTGGTCTTCCTGGCGGTGTGTGGCTTGGCATTGTCCTGCTGCATCAAAGCGCGCTTTCGGTTGATCAGAGCCGGGTACTTTTGCTTCAACTTTTCGTAGACCCGCTCCAGTTGCTGACAGTAAAGTTCGGCACTGATGGCACGACCATTCGGAATCAACCCAAAATGCACGATTCTTTCAAAGTTCCACCAAACGCACAACATGACTTTCTTGCCAAATCGATCTTGTTTTGGAACCGACGGTGTCTCTTGCCCTTTCTGAACCCATCGTTTATAAACGCAAAAAACAATTAAATAAAAATTTTAATGAAATAAAATTTTTTCAAAATTATCAAAATTAACAATAAAGTAAAAAACAATTAAAAATTGCATAAAAATTCAATTTTTCGCAAGTGTTTACGAACTTTTGGGACAACCTAATAGTAGATATATTTAAAATCTAGATAACCAAACTAGTTATATTCCATCATCGCCGGTCTGGCCACCAACTACCGCCAGTCACGATGAACAGTTGTCCCCACGGGGAGGTTCCGTGCCTTGAAAGACCTTAAACCCACACCTGACCTTAAAGATACAGAGAAAATGGCCGGCTTTCTGTATCGCTCCAGAAATGCTATCCTCTACCTTTACAAGAACCAAATCAGGTCGGGGATGGATTACAGTTTTCATATTTGGGTGGGAGTTGCCCAGTCCTCACTTTTCAGTCTCGATAGAGTTCAAAAGCGTCTCCCAGTCCTTTTTGGGTGAAAAAATGTTTTTCACCCTCCAACCTCTCTCTCACAGGCGGGATGTGGCAAGCCTCTCAATTCTCTATTGCTATTTCCATAGAAAGTGGTCGGACGAACTAAATTCCTTGATTCGGCCAGGTCTAACCTTCACGGCTAGGACCCGCCATGACACTTACATTGTAGCAAAACACCCAGTCACCCTCCATATTCCATCGACGAGAAATAAGTTCCACTCGAACAGCGAACCACCGCTCTGTACAACCGACTCCCAAAAGGATGTTTCCTCGATAACTGCAATCTGTTCATGTCTAGAGTTAACCGTTATCTTCTTCACTTCTCCGTATAAACTGATTCCTTAACTCGAGTGGCTCCCGGATCTTGAACAAGGATTTAAAACAAAGAAAAAAAAAGATTTTTATAATGAACTTCATCAACGACTACTTTTCAAGTTCAAACATGTAGGATATTCTTTGCAAAGTTCTCAGGATCATTCCTCATTCCATGAAGAAAAATAGTTGCTTTGCAAGATCTTCTTGGCAGAAAAATTTGGAGACAATCCTGTTCTGTATCTATGGAAACGACGTCCCTGGTGCTAAATTTTTCGCTGATGACGCTAAACTCCATCTTTGCGTCAATGACAAAGAAGACTGCTCATCATGCAACATAATTCAATTTCCATTTCAGCTTGCAGTTCGTTATGGCTTCTAAAATTTGATCAGGATAAATGTGTTGTGAGGAAGATCAAAGATAAGTTGAAATAAACTTACAGACTAGATGGAGTCTGCCTCAATCAAGTAAAAAAGATTTGTGTATTATATTTTCCCGTAATCTAACTCCAAGATCACCTATTTTTGAAATCGTAAGAAGAGTAGATAAGATTAAACACTAAATGCTGCTTCACGAATCTTACATCTCCAAAAAGAAAAGTAAAGGTAAAAAGCCATTTACACTAAATCATTTCAAGCAATACTTACATATAAAAATTAACTGGAGTCCAAATAACAAAAATGAGATGGAATTATTGCAATCTGACCAGGATAGGTGCCTCAGCCTGGGTGCAGGACGACTCAACACCGTCAACTCAACATCACCGACTCAGCGCCGCCGACTCAGCGCCGCCGACTCAGCGCCGCCGACTCAGCGCCGCCGACTCAGCACCGGGACACTTCTGGAGACAACTCAGCATCAGAAAAATCATAGCTTTTTCTTATAACCGAATTAAAAGTAATTTATTAAGGATTAAAACTTTAAATAGTGAATATTTTTACTTTATTAAAAAATAATTTTTTTTAAGAATAATTAAAAAATATTACTCTTTAGTATTTCAAGGTATTTTTGTGTAATTTTGGTAAATATATCTGTTAAATTGAGATGTCAGTGCTATTTTCATTTTTGCATAATTTAGAAGACAATTTATCTATCACACCCTTTATATTAATGCGAAGTGTGACTTATTGTTTCTTTCTCTTCATAACGTCTGTCCTGTTGATGATGAAGAATATAAGAAATAGAACGTCTTGACCTGCAAATAACATCGAATACATTTGGGAGGTTATTTTTCAATTATGCAATGTTGGTTAAAGACCAAAAAAAGAGATTTGTTAATTGATTTTTGTATAATATTTTCTATATTTTCGGACTGTTATAAAAATTCAGGATATGGAATTAGTAAATACTAAACACTTCAAATAAAGGGTGTTCTAATAATTTGAACCGATTGTAAATGTGATTTAAGTTGAAGCGTCTAAGGATTTTCTTCTTTTACTTTCAGATTTAACAACTTAAGTCTTTGGCAATTTCACTCATGGAAATATTAACAATCAAACAACGTGTTAAAGTTATCGAAGCCTATTACGAAAATGGACGTTGAAACAGAAATGCAATGAGAAGTTCCCAAGTAGCAACATACCTCGAAACAGCGAAGTCAAATGGCCACTAAGATGGTGCGTTTTGACGCCTTTAGATTTCTTCCTTTGGGGTCATCTCAAAAGTAAGGTCTATACCAACAGGCCAACACAAATTCAACATCTGAAGGATGAGATAATAGGGCATATTGGTGAGATCGAGGAGCAGCTATGCAGAGACGTCATCAAAAATTTTGACCATCGAGTGGAGGTGTGCTGCCGAAGACTTGGTGGACATTTGGGTGATATTATTTTTCACACATAATTTCCATGACTTAAATAACATAATCCAATAGAGAAATAAATATTCACCAATAACACTGATTTATTTGCTACTGACTTTGATCCGTCTTAATGAAACACCCTTTACCTTTGTGTATGGATAAGTTACGACAAACGTGCTATAGGAGAAATATGTAAGAGAATTATTAGAAAACTGAAGCTAAAATAGTTTCCGCTGGAGGTAGTTTCACCAAACAACGTAAGCTGCTAAAAATCCAAAATATTAACCTAAGAACTTCAGTCGTGTGTTTAAATAATCAGATCGAGACTTTTATTTGGATGCAAGCTTGGTGCTAAACCCGTTAGAAATACCTAAGTTTTCGACGGCTTTCTCATA